CAGTATTCAAATGGGATCCTGGATTCTCTACCAATTCTCAAGTGCTCTGTGATCTACCACTAATAGACCCTTTGCCAAACTCTTGGCACTTGGGACCAATGCCCCAAACTCCTTGACACTTTGATTCTCCACCAAGAGGGAAGAATTTACCTGTCCAATTTCAAGAAGAAACCACCTGTCACTAAAAATATTGATACCATTTATTAGGAAGAAAAATCCAAGAGAATCGTCAAAAAGGCCCAATATATAAGTCGGGAACCTAATATTGATTCAAAAACTTAACCTATTCGGTCTTGGATTCTTAACCTTTGTATTAAATACTCTTCGTTTGTCTAATAAATGTTAGACACGACTCCTACTCATGAACCCAACAACTGGCATCTCAAGTTATTACCAAGATGATATAATTTAGATCCGTCTTGGTACAATAACGACTCAGATTATTGAGTTGGTCACTCGATTATTGTACATTATTAGTTTATACTACAACTTATTTAGGTTAAGCTGCCATTGTGGAATTGGGGTCTTGTTGGGTGATAAATCCATTATCAAGCCAACCTTTGCGAAAAAAAGTTATTACACTTGCCTTGGAAAGTCTTAATAAATTGTTTTACCAAATTGATTGATTTTGTTTATAGTACTTAGATTGACTCAATAAACTAGAGGAAGAGAAACAAAAAGACTTTTCATGCTAAATGATATTCCATGTGCTATTTAAAGCCCCTTCATATATATAATTAGTCCTTTTTTTTTTCTTTTGTAAGTGGGAGGCTTTAAACCTAAGGTCTCTTACTTGCAATATCACCCAACTCAATCCTTCCCCAACAAATTTTATGTACGCAAGGACAAAAAATAAAAAGTTTATAAAAATGGGGTTGTGCAAATAATTTTCTTGTAACTTTCGTAATCACCTGATTTTGAAGTTGAACTTGAAATCAGAAGTTTAATTTCTTAGAATAAAAAAAATGTGAAGTGCTTACAAACGATTGATTTGATTCGTCAATGCCTTGATATCATTGAATATTCTAGTTTTGGTGGAAATCATGAAAAAAATCAAACATTACACCAGGTGCAGAATTTCAGCTCTTCGTTTGGACAAAAAAAATCCGATAACAAGATATCAAAACAAACATTTTATGTATGGCCTAAACGCAACAAAATCTCTAATTTTTTTGGTGTGTCTTATAATATAATTTATGTCGTTATTTCTACGCCACTTAGTATGGGAGTTAAAGGACAATAATTTGTACTAACTAAGATATTCGTTACCAAATAATAGTATAATACTAATCCCCTTCTTGTGTTTTGGTGTATAATACCTGATGTTTGGCTAAGATAATTGATAGTAAAAAAAACAAGACTACTCTTGAATTATACACGAAAAATCTATAATATCTAAATCTTTTTTGTTCATATGAGAAAAGCCCGTGAAATTGTGGAGAAAATGCATACTTCCTCCCATGTGAATCAGAAAAATAGAAGAAGAAAAAGTATTTGAAGAATCCATATGTGATAAGAGTTTGTGAAAAAAAGAAAAAAAATTTGGTATATAACAAAAGAAAGTATGTAAATTCAAAAAGAGAATATAAGTTTAATCAAATTCTTACATGGGGCCCAAAAAATTCGTACTTGGGGAATCATCCATGTAATAGTATACACATTAAATTTGTTGTTAAATTACAATACTATCCTTGTTTAATTTGGTTTCCCTGCCTTCTCCTTCTAACATAAAGAGTTCCATGGTCAAAATTTTTGTCTATCTCCCACCGTATTATCAAAGTTCCACAATGCTAAATCCTCATATCCCCAAATTCCAAGTTTATTTATCTAAGTTGAGGAGGATGAAGATCTGACTTTGATAATCGCTACCCACCCCCATTGTTAAAATTGTAGTCTCTTACTTAGAACTCTTTCAAAGGTGGCAAATCTTCGAAATAGCAATTCTAAAACCAATGTCATCATCTTTTCTCTTCCATTAATTGTCACAATAATGTTCTTATTATGTAACAATAGACCTATTAAAAATCATCAGCTTTTAATTTGGGAAGTTTAGTCAATAAGTTATTATAATCGTGATTTAATTGGACAATATAGAAACTATGATACCATTGTACGTGGTTGATTGACAAACATGTTGACTATTGAAAGAGTTGTATTCCACCTTATTTGGTATCCAGTCATAATGTAAACTAGCACTATAAGAAAATTGCAATGCAATTACCTTTAATTTCAAGGTACATGTAATGGTGTGTACTAAATAATTTGCTACTTGAAATTGTTGCAGGAAAACGGAGTAATTAAGTGAGAAGTTGGGTACTTTAAAAAAATGATACGGTTGCTTTAATAGGGATAGAGTTAGAATAACATTAAGGATGCGTTTGATAAAACTGAAATATGAAAACTGAAATTTGAGATTTAAAATATGAATTCATTAAGTTATTGATTTATTAAATACTAAATTTAATAAATTTGAGTATATATCATATTATATGATAAGTGATTAATTCATCACTTATTTTTGAAGAGCACCAACTTCAATTGTGCTCAAAGACCCATCGAAGACCATGCCTGTTCGTCTACTTTTTTATGAATTATTTCGCTTATTTCCATATCTTTTCTTAAGAGTTGCCTTAAATTTTTAAGACGTCTATCACTTTTATCCTGAAAGGAATTTGATAGGTAGCCCTCAATTTTCCAGTCTCCAAATCAACATTTTATTGCTTTATTTCCAAACTTTACTCTAACTGAACCAAAGCATATAGCTTCTGTCACAAGTCATAACTTGCAGTAGATTTATTTTGTGGTTGGAATTATAAGCATTGTTGCATTGATTATGAACGAACTTTTTTCTTCTCATTTTTTCCAAGATGATCTCGTTGTTTCAATTGTGTCTTGGGATTTAGTTGGGCAGTGTACTGGGTTTAGAAATTAAAACAAAGGATGATGAGAAGGGTATTTAGAGGGGAGGAAGTGTCAACAAAAGATGGAAGGCAACTTTGCAATTTAATTTAGCAAAAATCGTTTAAAATGTCTCTCACATTTTGGCAAATGAATTTTTTTGTCTTTTACTTTTAGAATGTTAATTTTACACCTCTTAAGAATTTGTGTTAGTAAAATTTTGTCCTAATTTAAGTTTTCAGATACTTTTTAATCTGAAATCACCATGTGACTAATATACAGTCATTTTTTATGTACATAAAATGTCAAATTTTATTTCTTTAGTGTCAAAAATGAAAATAAATTGGGTCATATTCCAATTCTTTTGGGAAAAAAATATATTTCGGGTCATATTCTAAATTTTTAGAGACAAAAATGAATATAGATCAAATCATTTGTATAATTACAAATAGGATCTAACCTTTTTTCACCTAAAAAGTGGGTCATATGATAGATTTAAAACAAAAAATGGTCAAAAACATAAGTTGGAACTCAATTTTATTGACTTAATTTTGTAAGGGATGTTAAGTTAATATATTTAAAGTGAAGCATGAAAAATATCATTTGATCAAATGTGAAGGATATTCTAAACAATTTTTCTTTTAATTTATTCACTTGGTTCTTTTTTCTTTTTATTTTTTTGAGAAAAGGTAAAAGCTAAGGTTGTTTTGGGAACTTCATATTATCATTTAGCCTTACTTGGTCAGTTGGTTGTACGTGTTGCTCTCTTAATGGTCGGGGTTGATTGTTATTAGACCTTCAAGTCAAAGTGGGGTTGGCTATAATACTTCAAATCTCAAGAAGGGTAATGGTAGTTCAGTCAAACAACAAAGGAGATAAAGGTAATTAACCTAAATATTAGTACCCGATAGCCTTTTGTGGTGCTGTTGCCTAATTACTAAGGATGGCACCCATTCCGCGGGGCAGAAATGGGGCGGTAGATAATACGATGGGAGGCGAGCTAATAGCACCCGCCCCATCCCCGTCCCGTTAACTAATTTTTTTTAGTTATTAGTATTTGTAACTTATTGAATGAACTAAGATCGATTATTTGAATATGTCTTAATTTAAAATTTTAAAATAGAATGAATGATAAAATTATTCCGTAAATGAGCAAATAACTAAATATGATAAATTGATCGTAGAAAACAGGGCGGGAGATATGACGAATTATTTGTCCCCTGCCCCATTGCCACCTTTATTGATTATTTCAGGGGAGCAAAAAGAAAAAAAAAGTTAAAATACGAAAAAAGAAAGTAAAGATATATTAGTAAATTGACAAAATTATGCCTTTAAACCATAGTTATTAAATCCGGCCCGGTGAAAGAGGTGGGTCAACGGGTTATTGGTTCAACTAGTGGGTGAGTGGTCCAATCGGTGGGTCACTACATATATTTAAATATTATGTTTTATAATTTTTGATATAGTTAAAACTATAATAAACTATGTTATAGTAAATACTCAATTAGTCCAATTTATTATAGAATCATTAATTCTTATAAGAATTAACAAAACCTAAATTTAATTAGTAATCCACCAAACTTCAAGTATAAAATTTTATCTAAGTGCAATTATCTAGTTTATTTACGAATTTTAAGTACAAAAGGTTATTAAGAATAATATTTGTTTTTAAAATGAATTGTGTAATATGTTATTTTTTAAATCCATTTCATAATTTATAGAATTTAGAGAATAATAAAATTTTATTAAAAGATTCCAAACAAGTTTTGTTTTGAAGAAATAAAATAAGAATAAGAATATAATATATAATATAGAAGGAGTAACAACCACCAAGTGAGCTGTTGGGCTAGTGGTGGGTGCGTGTAGCTTTTGTGTTTGAGGTCTGAGGTTTGAATCAGCGTTGGAGCATTTTGTAATCATTTTTATCCCAAAATCGGTTCGTTACAAATCGGTTGAACCGTCGGTCCATTGAGAAGTTAACACACAAACGATCCAATTACAAATTCAGCCTGATTTTATGAACGATTCATTTGATCAGTGGAATCGTCGAGGCGGATCGGATCGAATTTAATAATTATGCCTTAAACTGACAAAAGGGGAAAGTGTGTGCCTTTGAATTTGATTTGATTAGGAAAGTGGGTTATGCTTATTTGTGAGAAGACGGAGCGTGTCGTTAAACCCACCCCCCTCCCCTTCTTCCTGTTGCCCAATTCCCCAGCCGCTTATTTCCCCCAGCCCACAAAATGTCGGATTCCTCCATAAGTCGTCGGGAAAGCTCCAGAAAACGAAAGGCCGCCCAGTGCTCTCTTGGTTCGGGTGTTGACAAACCCATTCCCGCTGCTTCTGCTGCGAACAAGGTTACCTCTCTCCTATGTGCCTTATTTTTTTTTTCTTTTTTTTTCCGTACTTCATCTTCTTGTGCTAATTCTTTTATTTTTGTACAATTGGTTGCAAAATATTTATTGCTTTAGTTACACGCATATCTTTTCTTTTTCGGATTGTTGAGAACCGGACTGTTCTGAAAATTTGAAATTTTGGTTGCTCATTGTTTTTTTTTTTTTTGGCGGAAAGAAAACTATTATTGGCTTCGGGACATGAGCAAGATGATTTATGGTGTCTTCATATGCTTCTGTTCATGTCTGAAAACGTGGACTGTTTTTGGGGAAAAATTAGCGATAATTGTCTAGGTGATAATTGTATAGGCCTGTTAATAGAGAGGTCTTTGCAGCAAATTGTAGTAGTGATTGATGTGTTTTTATTAGAAGCATGATTTAGTTTTAGTTATGTCAAAAAGTGAGAGGTTTAGGCTTTTTCCGACCGAAGTTGTATTTTCATGTGTGTTTTTCCTACATAATGAAAACGCAACTTTTGTTTTTCCCCTAGTCGGATATGATATTGAGATTTATTTTTCCCGAACATGATTGAGTTCTAAGATCATTTCCAGCTCTAGGCTTTTTATTGGTTGGTCCTAGTAAATTGTAAATTGAGGGCTTTTGGAAAAGGGGGGTGACACCTTTAGAAGCTTAGCCTTATTTCGAGTCATGGAAGCTCTTCAAGTTACATATAACAAAATTACTAAATTCCACAGCCTTTTAATTGTTGATGGAATGGTGGCTATGGCATTTTTAAGATTCTCAGTTTTATGGATATGGGCATGGATGCATGATAGATTCAATGTTCATCATAGTTTAGCTTTTGATTTGAAAATAGGGAGTCAGTATACAAGTCATAGGCTATCAGCTGCAGAATTTACCCGTCTTTTTAGTCATGCAGTTGCATGTTAAATGTTGTGTAGTTTCCAGTTGTCCTTTCATGTAGAAGATGATGATGAGAACATATGAAAGAAAAGTGGTTTTTTTTCCCCTGAATTTGCAGCCTCATTAGTTGGTAAGACCATATTGATGACAATTGGAGTTGATTGTTCCAATGGTCTCTAACGTTCCTCTCCTTGTTTTCTTGTTTTCCTTTTTTATTTTCTCATATTAATTCTCTTACTTATATACAATGGGTAAAAAAAATTCTCTGGATATGCTTCATGCATATCTTTTTCTCCTCCTGATGGTTCCAAATGTGCGCAGCAGACTATGACTGCTGTATTCATAGAGAGAGCAGGAGGGCCAAATGCGTTGGTGCCGCAAGAGGTTGCCTGCCCTGAACCAAAACTCAACGCTTATGAGGTTTTGATTAGAGTGGCATACATTGGAGTTAATAGGCTAGATTTGGAACAAAGATTAGAGGGGCTCAAAGGAACAGATGGAAAGAGATTTTGCCCCGGGCTCGAATGTTCGGGCGTTATTGAAGCTGTGGGTGAAAAGGTTCGACATAAAGTGGGTGACAGTGTATGTCTGATACTGCTACTTTGTCTTCCTTTAACAATAAAGAGATAAATTTGGAACCTTTTACCTCTGAATCTTTCCTACTAAATTTAGGCTGATTGCATTGTATTTAATATGCATCAGGATAATTTTGTTGAATATCAGTGATTGGATATTGGTACTTTGCAGGTTTGTGCCTTCCTTGACAGTGGGGGCTACACTGAAAAGATAGTGTTACCTAGTTGGCGAGTGCTTTGCACTCCTCCAGACATGGATTTGCGAAATGCTGCGTGCCTTCCAGAGGCGGCATACACTGGTTGGAGTGCTTTATCTCGGGCTAACCTTGGACAAGGAAAAACAATTTTGGTAACCCCGTAGTCTATTTACTTTTCTTTTTTGGTAGTACTATGATGTGTGGCCACCCATGCTAAGCTTTGTAGATAGTTCAATTTTGCCCCTCATTTTTTGGTAGAAAAAGGTCATTTAAATTGTGTAAATTACATATCTTGGATAAAAGAGAATAAAATTCTGCCTGGGGCTCCAATCCCAAATTGCGAAGGTAATTTGAATGCTTGACTTGCGAGTTGCGAGTACAACAGGAATTCTCTTCCACTTAAAAATTGTTACAGAATTAACTCTTCTCCATTCATGCACAACACCAGTAAAAGCTGAGATAAACCTAGTTATGGGTTCAATTTGGTTCCTCCAAGAGAAACAAACAATGTCCGTAACAAAGGCACTGGAGTACCAAAACCTTTCAAACCTGAAAGGTCTAAGTAGCAATGTCAGGAACAGATTTCATTAACTTAACAAGACAAACAATGATCAGACTTATGGCTAGGAAAGTGGTAGCTTCAGGAAACAAAGTTCTCCATGCAACATTCAGAGAGAGTCCTGTCAATTTTATCATAAATTAGTCAGGATTGTATACCCTAGAGAATTTTGCTCCCACAAACCCATTTCCATTAATCCACAAGTATCAAGATATTCCTTAAACACGGTCAGCCTGTTAAAATTAATGCCATTGCCGCCCAATTTTTTGTGTGTGTACATTTTTGCATTGAAATCTCCGTACAAAGATAAGGAAGGGAGCAAGAATTTGCAGCAGAACATGAATGACTATAATATTTTCCTATGATCTAGCTCGGGACCAGCATAGAATGCAGTGACAGCCAAGTTGAAGAGGGAAATAACTTGACCAGCACATCAATTTCGTGCTCAGTTTTATTCAGGAGGTCTGTCTGCACTGTTAATCATCCCAAAGAATCCAGAAACATCCTTGAAGACCTCTTGCGTCCACCATAGAAATGTTCTAGAGGGTAGACTCTTTCACATCTTCATAGCAAAACCACCTGCTATCTCAGTTGGAAGAATCACCTCTATATTGGCTTTATGAATATCCAATTGAAGGAGATGGTTGCTAAAGGAAGAGCTACCTACCCCCTTTATATTAGCACTTTTAGAGTGTTATGCAATCAACACTGGCCTTTCTTGTTCTGTCTTTTGACCATTCTCCAATCGGAGGTTGGTTGAACTTCGATTAGATAATCTATGAAGTCTGCTGGTGGAGTATCTAAGGCTGTTAAAGCCATACTTACTCCTAAACTGTCTGGGATTGGCATGCTGATTAGCTCTTCCTTGCTTGGGGCTACCGATTTCAGCTTTAGAGGATAGTGGGACTATATCTCTATTCTCCATACCTATTTTACATGGGTGTGTGTGTTAAGTACGGGTGTGTTTACAAGTGTTGGATTCACATAACTTAAAATTGTATGAGTCCAGGGGAGTCGTGTGCAAGTTGTTGGTATGGTTGAGTGTTTCTTTTTCTTGTTTAGATAGCACATTATATGCAAAAAAGTTATTTGCTTGTACATAAACGTGCTTTTCAATCAATCTTTTTGTCTTTTTAACCAATTATCTCACATACATCATATTATAAAAAGTTCCACAGTAAATATTCCAAATAATATCTCAAATAATCTCCTATCCAACCACACTCATTGTCAATGAGCATTTTCAAGTATGTGCATGTTGATTTTATACATTTATATCGACTTCGACATTTGCTGTACTAGAAAAGCTTACGACAGATTTGCTCAAAAAAAAAAAAATACAGCAGATTACAGTGAAAACTGGTTTTTGTGTTGGAACTATTTGGGTTCATACACCTAATACTGGAAAGTATTGGGGATAAACTAAATATATTGCTAACTGGATTGTATCTAAATACCACTACTTATAAGATTAGTAAATGCACATTTCAAGTCACTCATGAGACCTAATAATATCTGATCTCTCTTCATTTTATCATCCTTGCAAGAGAGTAGCCTCCATGTTGAAATTGACCATCCACTAGAGCCTAACTTTTCTAGCGAGAGTCTTAACTTTTCATCTTTCTTTGTTAAATCTTCACAAATCGCTCCTCTCCTCAATTTGCTTATGTTAACTTTTCAAAAGCCCATGGATAAGACAGCCATGAGCTTAGCACCTCAGATCCGCTCCAGCTATCTGAATATTCTTGGTCTCTCTTCCGATCCCATGAGCTTTTTTTTTCCCTTCAATCCTCCTCCACCATCAACATCACATCTCACAAAAGTCAAAGTCATCCTAAGAATTTTGACCGAGTCTGGTGCGTACCCAATAGCAGCACCCATGCGTTGTTGATGGGGTGTGCCTAGGCTCGAAGACATGTTCAGGTAACCTAGCTCCATCATAGATTTCCGTGCCCATGGTCTATACACCGTGGTTTTGAGGCCATGGTTACCTCCTGCAGGCTTGCTGGCACTGGTGTTCACTTGCATATCCTTCCCAATATCTCTGGTAGCCATCTGAATTCTTTGATCCATCTCCATCAGACAATGTTGATTTCACACTAATCTGCTGCATTGTTCTCCAATACACCAACTGGGTTCATAAATCGATATCGATAAAATTAACAGGCAAATAGTTCAAACATCATCGTGCACCTGTGAGAATAAGAAATGTATCCCCACGCCGATACCAACATTTGGACGCATATTCTGTGATCCTATAATTTTGAGTTATGCAAAATCTGACACCTAAATATGCACCTATATCCAACACCCGCATTTGAGTCCCAATAAGATAGCCCTCAGAGAGCTCATCCCCTCAGATTGAGCATCTCTCTGTGAGCCGGAGTGATTATTGTTGCTAGCTCGGCTCTTGCCTTGTACATGAATGAACCCCAAAATGATTTCTCGTTAATCTGTGATGAGAAGGTGGTTTGGGGACTTGGAAGTGTTCCACCTGTTGAGATTGTTTGTCTGGAAGGGGGTGGACGGGGTTGGTTGTGCCTGTGATTGTACCCGTGGTTGTGGAAATTGAAGAATTGATTATTTTTGAGCTGGTTGTTCTCCTCATTTTGTGAGCTAGGATATATGGATAATAGTGCTTGGATGGAAACGCCTGAGTTGTGTTTTTATGTATCTCGATTTAAAATGTCCAGGGGAACAGGAGAGGAATTGTTGGGATGGGATATTGCTGATTGTTGAGGGCTCATTGGAAGTTTGAATTACGAGTGGATAGACTGGATGAAAAATTCTTAATATGAAATTCGGCATTTTTTTTTTGGTCTTTGATAAACACACTGAATCTGTGAGTTTCCAGCAGACTATTGCTGTTACAAAAAGCCAAATTGTTTGTCCTTTGCCAGGCTTTTTGAGATGTAAGTTCAGAGATCATTTTTTATTTCAGTGTTAAGTGATCGTAGTACTCTGTTCCTTCAGTTTTTCTTATTTTATGCCATACTTCTTGGGCTAAAAACGTTGGGATTTCAATTCAGAATTTTGCTTGTATGACAATCCCATCTCCTTTGTGCTTTGGAAGGATTTCATCCTTCCATTCTTACTATATTCTAATTCAAGGTCCTTACATCATGTTGCCTCTCTTGAGTTTTCTTCATGAACGTTAGACTTATCCTTGGAGTTCAATGCAGGCTCGGGATTTCTACCCTTCTCTACAACCTTCCATAGTATGCCCATTGTTTACACAACCATAGTACCAATTAAGTTGTTCATATTGAACAAGTTGTCCAAGACTAATAAGATGGAGGAGACTTTTTAAATGTTCACTTATAGGAATAATCTTTTGAATTTGACCTTTTTACTTGAAGCTGTTTTAGTGTGATGATTTCGATAATCTTATAAGGATTTCCAAGTCATAATACTTTTTAGGTAAACCTCTCCAGCAGTTGAATCCATGCTGCTTAGGTTGGAATGGCCTATTTGCTTTCAAATTTGCTCTTTAGATTCTGCTCTAGTGAAAGAGTTTTGCTATATTAAGTGTTTGATATTCCCTCTGGTTCAAATTGAAGAGTTCTAGTAATATGGCTTACACCATTCAGGGCATTTTGATTAATTATGTTTTGCAAAGATGCAGATACACGAATCTTGTGGAGATGTTGCAGTATTTGCCATACAGATGGCAAAGTACCTGAGAGCTAAGGTTTTTGCTGCTGCAGGTTTGAACATACCAAATTGTTGCTAGCTACTTAATTTGCATACTTTATCCTACATTCCTGTTGAGTCCTCTTTTTTTTTTTTGGGTGGGGATGAAAATGTGTCTCTCAGATAGTTTGAAAAAACAAGAGTTTTACAAGACACTAGGTGCCGATAAGTGCTTCAATTATAGGAATGCAGATTTTGTGTCTTTAGTGCAAAGACAAGCGCGGGAAACAGGTATAGTTTCTAATCCAGTTAACTTCATTTTTTATTATGCTCTGGGCATTCCCTGTTTTTTATTTTTTAATGTTAAAATCATTATAATGATTTTCCAATGATGACAAAATTTTTTTTTTTTTTAATTTTTCTCTCTCTCTTTTTTTTTAAAGGTAAAAAGTTTTATTTTAAAATGCACTTAGGGAATTTTCCTTGTGTAGTGTGTCCTGAAAAGAGCACATCCAAGCCTTAGATTAATAAGTAAACACTGATAAGGTTCTGTACTGAAAACTCTCTCTTATCCCGCATGTTTAAAATGTCATCTAATAGGCCAATTCCATTTAGTGATCCAATTAAATGAAAGCTCCCTTTCAGGTGCCTTACAATGCTTAGATCATTTTCATGATATTTTCTTGTCTTGGTATGTTTCTTTAATTGTTCTATGGTATGCGAGTCATTCAATGGCAGGTGGCATTGATGTGGTCTTGGATTCTTGGGCAATCAATTTACGTAAGAATTTAAAAATCTTATGTAATGGCGGTTTACTACTTTATGTTGACGTGCATGGTTTCTCGCTGGAAGTATTACAAATTGATTCTCTGATGTCCAAGAATGCAAATATCCAAGGTATTTTGATTTGCTGATGTTTGGCTAGTTACCTTCGCATTGGGCACTTTATCTTTTTATTTTTCTTTGGGTTAATTGTATTGGTATGTATTCATCCTACACTACCTACTTCAAGGTGGGAGGCCACCTATGGCTTTTGGCTATGTTCTGAGTTGGTTTAGCAATGTCTTTGGTATGTTAGTTGCTACCTTGTCAATTGTCTATGGTAAGGGTCATGAGGTAGTGTCGTCCATCTGTGATTTTCTTGATTATTACCCTTATAGGAATCTGCATCCTTGGCAATGGGTTATGTCTATTTTGGGGCACGAGTCATCATTTACTTGGCACCTCTTGGAGTTCAATTGTTTGGGTTTTTTTGCAATTTCATGTATAAGAAGATGAAGGATTGGGTTCATTCCTTGGATGCGTATTGACAAATTTGTGATACATGCAAACTGCCATGTGCTCTTCTTGTGCTTGATCATTTTTCTGTTGTCATCAAATTTCAAATCGTTTGGGTAGGCAAAAATGTATTCGAAGCTTTTACCTAAATTTTCTGTTTTACGTCTAAGATAGCGTAATTGTAGATTGCTGATTGAGATTTAGTTCATCCATGAGGCTGCAGTTTTTTGACTAATATGCCATAATGCCCACAAGTTCTGAGTATGGTTTATCTTCAGTTTACTGTTCTTGTGAAATATTTTTGCGTTAGTAACATTTTGATGAATTTTAGTCAATGTTGAAATATGCTATGGTTTGCATAGAATTCAGATTACTCACTTGATTTGGACTTTTCCAAATTTTGTCCATCGTCGTCATTTCTTGTATCAACTTAGGAAGGATTACACTGGGGAGATTGTGAATTATGTACTTCCACGCCACCAAGATATCTGCAAGTCGAAGCTGAATGATGATTTAGTTTAACTGGCAATGAAATTTTGCTGATTTGTGTAATGTACCTGAACATGCATGTGTACATGGATTTAGTTCCATGAATCTTACCGTAAAACTGTTTTCAACAGATTGCATTTTTGAAAGACTAGAAAGTACACGTGCATTTGTGAAATAAGCATTTCGGGTGGTTTTGGATGCCATTCCTGAATAGTTAACAAATTCAAACGAGGATATTGGAATTAATTACCATATAGGATAAAACGAAATTGGGGTTTTGCTGTTGCTCTATTGTTGCGGAACTATAGTTAATGAATAATTTTCCAACTGTCCTTGATTGCAATAATATGTGGAGTATTTAAATCATTTTTCCACTTATGTTTGGCTATTGGCTGCAAGAATTCATCATTAAGGGACTTGGTTCTATGTCTTAATCAGATTCCGTATATTTAGCTGACGTAAACCATTGATAGGATTTTAGGAATGCTGAAGCTGGACAATCTTGAGTTAGTGAACAGAAACACCCAAAAAAAAATGCCTATCTGACTCCTAGGCTCAAGCAATACCCTTCTTAGGCTCGGAGCAATACCTTTTCCTGAAAAACACCTTGAAAACTCAATTTCGGTGCTTTGAATAAGATTATGGGTGATGAAAGTATGGTTAGAAAAAAGGATGCTTATGCCAGTCCGTCTTTACACTGGACCCTCTTTATCACTCTTTTTTCTGTTTTATTCTCCAAGTGGAAGCGCATGCTATTATTTGCACTTAGTAGGAGGCATGTGAGTGGCATATTTTATAGATGACCTAGCTTCGCACCCTTTCATATAATGACATTCACCTTGATTAGACTTTGCTCCAAGTTTAAATTTTTGAATTTTGTGTCATCCATCTGAAAGAGATTTTTTTACTTGTAATTAAATTATCTGCTTTCACTGAAGAAATTTGGAAATGGATGAGACTTCGTTGGTTGCCAAATTCTAGGTGGCTATTCTACTGAATTATAACTTATTTTTCCTTCTTAAAATTGCTTAAGCATCCCTTTCTTATCAATAGGTTAGGATGACAATTATGACAACTTCGTTTTAACGTGTAACTGGTAACCGGAGGATGATTATCCAATTGCATATCTATGGCACATGTTTTGGGTATTGTTGTTTCATTGTTTCAACTGATATAAAGTAGTATACATTCTTTATTGCCCTCATCTCATCGGCTGGGCTTTGGTGGGAGTTTTGTGGTCTGAATGAAACCTTTATAGAAACACTCGTCTTTCATATAAAATCACTTCAAAATAAAAATTTATCAATGTTTTAAGTCTTGTTCTGCTACCTAACATAAAATTTGATTTCCTTTGTGAAGAAATTTAATAGAACAAAACAAGTAATTCCTTGATTATTTTTTTTTTTTTTTGGTGTTTTGCAGTACTTTGTAGGTCTGACAAAAGTATAGATAGTATTCAAGAATTGAAGGCTTCGGTCTGGCCCGCAATTTGTGCTGGACATGTAAAACCATTCATTTACGAATGCTATCCACTCTCCCAAGCAGCAAAAGCTCACAAGGCTATGGAGAGGAAATATTTCTTTCAGCGTATGCTTTCAGCCCTAGGACCTTGGACGTCCAAATTAGAGCGTCATGTTTACACTGGCATGGTAGAAAAATGTGTGACTGGAAAAATATTGCTTCGTGTTGACAGCATTGAAGAGGTCAAACGCCACAGCTAAAGCTGAAGCTGTAGACTGGTTCTCTTTCATCATATATGCGAACATCATAAAAGTATATATATATATATTTTTTGGTGGGTAATTTGCAAAGAGACGTGTAAAAGACGAGTTCAACTAATTTTAATGTCTTAGCACCAGTGTCTTTCATCATATTACGTAGAAGTTAAAGCGCAGCCAGAGAGATTTTTTTTTTTTTTTTGTGTAAGCTCTCTCTGCTAATCTATTAATTCTTGTAGCTAAGTCATCCTGCACAAATCCCGTGTTTCCTTTATTTTTGTTCCAAGATTCTCTCTTCCTCCCTTCCTGTTGCGTGCCACAAGAAGCATTGTAGTATTACTACAAGACTAGCAACCCTTTTTTAATTTTAAGATGTACGCTAATAATATGACGTGTCGTATGTTTCCTTATTATTATTCCTAGATTTTCTCTTGCTCTCTTCTTGCTGCGTGCCACAACTAGCAATCTAGTAATCAGAAGACTGGCAACCCTTTTTCATTCAAAGATTCAGGCCAATTCTTTTTTGAAAAAAAAAAAAAGGGATGCAGGCCAATAATATGACGTATCATGTGTTTAGTATATAATTAACTAATTCTCTTGTTTGTTTCACTTGTGCACTAATCCTCCAATGTAATTCTTTTACACTATAATTACTCACTCTTACTAGTCTAATATAAATTTATCAAAATCTCCACTTAATCGTTTCGGCACGATTTATGCGAACTTTCGACTCGCACGCGATAAAACAAAATTAAGGGTAAAACGAGCAACTAAAATATAATTAACAAATACTAGGGTAATTAATTATAAAAATGACTATTTTAAAAATAAAAACATGTGTTCTCACAAATAGACTTTAGAAGATATCTTCATGAAATTCAGCTCATAGGTTAGTCAAATTTTCAGTTCAAAATCACTGTTGTCTCATGTGCAAAACAGAACAGTCATGGTTTTTGAAAACATTTTGTAAAATTGTTGGTATTTATAGGAGTTGAACCAACCCTGATTTTTATAAAGTCAAAAGAGCTATGAGTCTAGTTTCAATGCAACAAACGGAACTCAATTTGGATTTTTCTACACTAAGATATAACATATTTCCGAAGACTGTTCAAAGTCTCCTGCAGAAAAATTTCAGCAGCACTTCCTTTGGATTTACCAATTTTTTCAGCCATTTTAAGGCTACATTTTCTTCTCAAATCAGCCCACTCAAAACCACAAGACAGTCACAAATCAAGTTCTCAAGTTATAAGATACATAGAGTACTTATTTTAGCCACAAACTAGCTATAATCAACATATACCTAAGTTGGAAAATCCTCTACCAAAGCTGAAATTTCATAACTAAAGTTATGAAGTCCTATTTTGAAGCTAAAATTTCATACCAAAGCTAGAAATCTTCATATCTCAACTTTCATACGCAAATCAAAGTTAGAAACTCCTAATTCATGGCTGAAAAATATAAATGAAAGCTGAAAATTTTCAATAACAACACAAATCCATGAAATCAGCCACAATACTTCCATATTCAAGTCATATGCCCACTTAAATGCAAGATTAAAGGGAAAAAGTAGTTCCTTATCAATATTACCTTCAATAACTTCAGAGATAGCAGAGATAAATTAGCCAGTCGAGGCTCTTAAACATCCCACGTGCTACGTACCAAAATATAAAGTCGTACCAATCCGGGTAGATAAATACATAAATCTCTATTACAAATTTACAGGCCAAGTAATCGAATTAGGGTTTACCCATTTTCCCGTTTCAAGTGGCAACCCAAAAGAAAAGTGCATTATCTCAATAACACATTACAGCCCACAGAATAAGTTATAGCATTCAAATACAATCCAAAAGGAAAACTTAAGTAAGCATCCAGCTTTCAGTTTCCAGAACCTGTTAAGGAAAACAATAAACGTGGGGTGAGCTAAAGCTCAGTGGTGCCCCAAAAACATGCAATCAATTAAAACAATTAACACGTATTGATTCGATTGAAGTAAACAAATAGGAAGGCAATAATACCCAAGTGTACCTTAGACTGGTCGAGGGATTCACCCAACGACGTTACGTCCTGAACTTACATTATTATTATAGACTCGTCGAGGGATTCACCCAACGACTTTACGTCTAGCACTTGATTGATTATTATTGACTCGTCGAGGGATTCACCCAACGACTTTACGTCTAGCACTTGATTTATTATTATTGACTCGTCGAGGGATTCACCCAACGACTTTACGTCTAGCACTTGATTGATTATTATTGACTCGTCGAGGGATTCACCCAACGACTTTACGTCTAGCACTTGATTCACAAAAAAAATGTTTTACGCAAGTCACCACTCGAAAGGCTAGTGTGATAAAGTACACATTGCTCACTTCGATGGGTCAAAACCACTTCATAGTTATAATATAGCAAGTTAATAAAGCGCTTAACCACATAACATAAAACAAGCAGGGACACTCACCAAGAGTGAAGTTCAGATGTCAAGTTGGGAATCGAATTCCGCTTCCTCGCAATATCCTAGAATATCAAATATTGAAATTATAAGCTTTTATTCAGTCTTTAGACTCGAACACATTGAGGTTTATCTAATATATTGCTAGTTTACTTTCCCATAGTAATTTCAAAAATCTACTTAGATTGAAACTTGACACAAATAGTAGAAATGTTTCTTATAATTTTCCTTGAGGTACTTTTCCTTATAAAAAGGGTAACTAGTATAAATTTTCTGGAAATAAGTCGACAAACCTCTTAATATCAATGTTAGAAAGTTACTTTGAACATTTCTTTAAAGCTATGGTTCCTGCAAAAATTATTACTAAAACTATTTTACCCTAAAATAAGGTTTCTTGCCGAGCAAGTTTCCCATGCTTTTCCCCAGAATTATTACAACTCGTATTTTGGAACTTTTCCTATAGTTAACTATAGCTTAAGGAAAGAAAATGAATTAAAATAAGACTTAGAATTTTCAAAAGCTATATAACTTATTTACTAATCGAGGCTAGTTTGAGCTAAAGGAAATTATCGAGTTGGAAAGTTTTATAATATAATACTAGCTGGAAAAATATTTCTGATTAATTTGATCACAGCTACTCAAGTTCGCAAGGTCGATACAACTTCCACAGCTCCGATTCCGTTTCGAAATTATAATATGGATCAAAATATGACAAAAATCACATAGCAAATTACTAGGGCTTCGTCAATCATTAGCCCTAGATTTCAACAAGTGCATTTCTGAATAAAATAAAATGATCAACCAAGGCTTCATCAATCATTAGCACTTGGTTTCAGCAAGCCCATCATAAGCAACTAAAAATAAAATAAAAGTAAAGCCTCCAAGACATTCCAGCAATTAACTTTCGTCACCCTGTAGTACTTAGAAAATCATTCAAATGGCCAAGAGCTTCATCAATCATTAGCTCTTGATAGCAACCAATCACTTTCAAACCAAAATTTCAACTAGAAACAAGGAGTAAAGTCACGGCTAATTTAACGCTTAAATAACTCGAGAAATTCAGATTACCACCATAGCATTTTACTAGGCTCAATGCCATTCACATACCAGAAAATTTTAGCATGTAAGCTTCACTTGAAATTCAGAAATTCAAATCACAGATAGGCCCAACATTCGATTCAAGTCAAAATTCATTTTCCTGAAGAAACAGGACATTAAGTCAAGACAGCCTACTTTGAGGAGTCACGTACAGCCGTACACATGGAGGAAAAATATAAAATTTCTACAGAACCAAGGCCCATGTTTCTAGTTTCAAATGCCACTGACGGCACCTTAAACGGATTTTTCTACACCAAGATATAAGCATTTTACTGAAATTGGTCAGGGACATCCAAAAATCTGAAATGTCATTTTTCACATGTGAAAAACTCCTTTTTCTCTTTTTGCACCAAAATGTTTTTATTCAAACCATCCATACATTTCTTATATAATTCCAAAACAACATATTCCAGGCATTTCCATCCCTCATGATTTGAAGGAAATTTTCGAAACTAAGTTGAGCTTCCAACTCAACCTTCGGCCATCACAAAGGAAATTCCAGCATTTGTATACTAACCTCTTTAATTCAATCCTTCAATATATTAAATATTTCCTCGCCAAACCACTTAAATTTTGCATCTCTTATGTAGCTCAAGACCATCATAGTCCAAGGAAACAATAAAATTAAATGTTCAGAAACCATTTAAACTTTCTAAAGGCAAACTGAAATTTCTGGTTCAACCTTGCTTGCGGCTTCAAAGATTTCCAGCAAACAATTCAACTTTAGTTCAAATTTCCTTGGTTTAAACATGGTGTTAGTTACTCAATTCAACATTTTAAACACCTAGTTAGTTACTAAAATTTTCCACTTTCAAAATTGAGTTCAAACTATCATTATTAACATCAAAATTTCCAGAAATTTTCCTGCTTGGGCTCGGGTGATCATGCCTTGAAGCAGAATGTACTCTTAACCTTTATTTCTCTGATTTAAAACTTACTAATCAACTACATGCAGGGCCTAATTAACTTGTTATTAGTCATCTAATCATGGTTATAAGTTTAAACAACAACACTAAACCAAATCAGGTTGCAAAGCTTTAAGCTAAGCTCTCGGCCAAACCAGAAATTCTTCCAGCATTTGTTTAGTCACAAACCATTTTTTTTCTATGGTTAATTCCTGTATTTTGCACTTAATTTCACATGCACAACTGCTGAATTTAACTAGCTATCATATCCAGACCAGAAATCAGTTTGATAGCAACCAAATTGAACCAAGTTAAGCTGTAATAATTAAGCTAGGCTCTCGGCAGAATTTTCTTACCCCAAACTAACCCAGAAATTTATCTCTGCTTTAACACTTCATTCGAATGCCCAATTCATCATACATGGTCTTAATCTTCCAATTCTTACTCAGCTAAAGACATTTGGGTGTTCAGATTATCACACAAAACAAAATTGGAGCTGCAATAACACCTCAAGTCTCGGTAGCAACAATTTCTCAAAACAGAAATTTTCGTAAGGTTTTGATTTCAGCATCCGATTGTATAATCTAAACATGTAATCTCTGATATAGCTTGATCAACTAATAATCAACCTATTTTAGACCAGAAATTACCTCAGCTAGCAACCAATCTTTCACACGAAATTCCAGAAATTTCCTTCCTAGCTCTCGGCCAAGTGCAGATGGTGATTCTGGTTTGGAGTTGCGGCTGAAAAGGGTTGTGGATGAAGGTAGAATTGGTGAAGCTTCCGGCAGATTCCCTTCCCTGGCTTTGCTCCAACTCACGGCTGAATCCAAGAAGTTTCCGGCAGCTCTCTCCCTCTCTCGGTGCTCTCGGTCAAGGCAGGGAAGAAATGAGGTTTTGTTGTGAATCAAGAATGAAAGAGTAGAGTGGTATTTGGAGTGAAGTTGATTTCGACTTTGGTTTGTGCAGAGAAAGAGTCGGCTGAAATGGTTGTGAGATGTAGTGTGAATTTGATCAAGTGGTTTTGTGGTGCCGCGGTTTACGAAAGGTTGCGTATCGAATTGGTTAAAATGCAATTGGTCGAAGTTGCGGTGATGGGAATTTGTCATAAGGGTCGTTTGGTTTCGCATGGAATTGTAAGGTCTTTTGGTCTTTTCACTTGGTTTCCTAATCTCAACTTAATTTCTCAAATTTATCCTCAAGGGTGATTTGAACGCCTAATAACCCCTCCCAATATACTTAACCATTTTTATCGAATAAATATCGATTAAACTTAAATATTAAGGTTCCTAACATTATATAGCGATTAACTTAATTATCCGCATCTCCAATTGTTTATTCTCAAGAATTAAAGTTATCCTACACAAAATTTATCGAATTTTCATGCCTTAAGTATGTTTAGTATAGGAATATCATATTTATCTAAAATTCATTGATTTTTATCTTAACGCGGAAATTCCTATAAACATTTAAATTATTAACGATTAAAACTAGCTATCGGAAATCAAAGAATTTATTTTAAAGTAATAGAATTAATCCAACTCAAGAAATATTAATTTAGTATAGCAAAACCGAATAATTCAATATTGGCACAATTATATTATTTATTACATAGAAATTATCTTTACCCTTTTATTTCAAAACAATTAATTACAATACTAGAATTCAAAAAAATTAATTATTAGATCAATGAAATAGTTTACCATTGAAATATGAAGTTAATGTAACAAAACTAAGAAGTTTAGTAGTTTAGCACAATTCTTTTATTTTGCACATAACGTTTATTTCTACGTACTTACTTAAAAACAATTGGACTTAGTGCTAAAATTTATTAAAGAATTAAAATGCAAATAAAATATGCACTGATATTTATATGTCTATTTTCAGGGTTCTCACATCCTCCCCTCCTTAAAATGAATTTTGTCCTCAAAATTCTTACTTTCTTGAGAAACAAATCGGAATACTTTTTCTGCATTTCTTCTTCTAACTCCCAAGTTGCTTCTTCGGAAATCCAAAGTTCCAATACTTTTGTTCTGCAATCAAGCTTAGCATGGTGATGAGCTAGAAAATTCTTTCATATAATAACATCATAACCTCGTATGTCCAATTTGATTAGATCCACTAGTATTTTATGCCCTTCAATCCAGAATTCACAGTTATTATAAGTTAAGCTACTGATTAAAATCTTATTACCCATTGATGTTTTAACTTCAAGGTCAAGGGTAATCTAACAGGTTTGACGTTAACTCCGGATGGAAAAGTTTGGTTCACAAATGAATGAGTTGCGCTATGATCAATTAACACTCTAGCTAATTGATGAGAAATGGGAAGAGTACCTTCCACGGCTTCCGAAGAATCAGGTACAGGTTGGTCATTTATAGCGTAAACCCTGGTAGGAACTTTCGGCCTATTCTCTCTAATGTTGGCTGGTTCATCATTCAGGGTATTATCCTCTTGTATTTTCGGGCAACCGGCAATTTGGTGCTCGCTGCTTCCACACTTCAAGCACTTTCCTGCTTTCCTCCAGCAACCGGCCTCGGTATGTCCAGGTTTCTTGCAATACCCACAAGTTCCCAGGAAAGTTATCGCACGACTTCCTTGTGGAGCGTTCCTAGGTTGACCTCTTCCATTTGGTCCCCCGTTAGTTCCATTATTTCTTCCTCCGGCACCTCTGGCACCAGTTCCTCGACCCACTTTGGCCAGTGGAGCATTTGTATAAGTCGGCTCCCGACTGCTGCTAGGTGCAAATCTTTTCTTGGCCTGGTAAGTTTTTACTTGAGTTCTAGCAACTTCAACCCTTTGAGCTCTTTCTACAGCATCAGCAAATGTGTCTATCCGAACAGCAGCTAATCCCTCCTGAATTTCCACGTTTAGTCCCTGCACAAACCTCCGGACACGCCTTTGTTCCGTGGCTATCAGTTCAGGAGCAAATCGGGACAATTTTGTGAACTGGACTTCATATTCGGCGACACTCATCGCCCCTTGTTTACATTTTATGAAGTCGTCCTCTCTCTTTTCTTGAATGAGAGGTGGAAGAAATTTGGCGTTGAACTCCCTTGTGAAGTTCGCCCAGGTCCTGGGAATATGATTCCTGTCCCAATTGACCCTAATTAGGTTCCACCAGGAACGAGCAGCTCCTTCAAACTGGAATGCTGCAAAAGTCACTTGCCTCTCTTCCGTATAATTTAGAGCGGCAAAAATATCAGAGATCCTTTCCCACCAACCTTCGGCTACCTCAGGTTCTGGGCCTCCGTAGAACTTAGGAGGTCCAAACTTCAGGAATCTCTCTAATGCCCGATCCTCGTAATCGATTGGGCCTCCTTGCTGATGCACCGCTCCATGGGCTTGATGCTCAGTCATGCGCTCTAACACATCAGTTATTCTATTGATTGCGGTGGCCACTGGATCTCCGGCCACGTTTCCCTGACCATGGCCTGGGTTGGCCTCAGGTTCCCTATCACTACCACCCTCGGGGTGTTGCCTAGTTGGTCTCCCACGTCCTCTATTTCTAACTTGTAGATCCATAGCCTAGTTATGCCTATTGATAAAAATAAAGTGATCAAGCGAAGATGTTGCTATTTATTTACTTGTTATTATTAAGTGAAGTCAACATGAATACCAAGAGAAAGAAAATTTAAAACACTTAAAGCATATATTCACATACCAAAGTTCATACAACTTTAAAAGCCAAACAATTCACGGTACATTTAATATTTTCACACATAACTCATATTTCGATCTTTATAAACATGAAGGAAAGCAAGTCAATAATACACCGATTATTATAACCACATAACTAATAGCTCAACCCTTAGTTTAGATTCAACTTAAAAACCTTCCCATTAGATTGAAGTCCTTATTGGCACAATGCAGCCATCTAAAAAAGGCCCGCACCTAAACATTCTTCAGAAAGACCGATTGTCTGGTTTTTTCGAGAAATTCCTCTTAAATACGTAATTGGCACTAATCTTCAAGATCACACCATTGGCTCTTTACCTTTAACTTTCAAAAGTTAGACTTGATTCCTTCAATCCTACTTTTCCAAACTTAGTCATGATTTCTAGTCACATCATAATGCGATATACTGAATTCTTTTCAATTGCAAATACACCATTTAATGAAATATCTGGTATTCGGGTACAAGAATCTGACTATAGGATAATTCACACCTCAGGCTGGCCAGTCCCAAGAGTAACTTACCTATATTTGAGATTCCTACCCAACATACATGTCTAATATCCCAACTATAAACTTTTGTTCCACACTTAACGAGTCAATCCCCACAGTCCGAGAGTCCTCTCCCGGCACGAGCTCGATAAGAGCTCTGATACCACCTGTGGCGACCCCACTTTCCCCTAAGGCGAACCAAAGGGTTGGCGGGCCGTCTGCCCAGCTCTCGCCAGGACTCATGCAAGCATTCTAACCTAAAACCTTGGAGTAATAAACTACTCTGTTACAAAACAAATTTTCCCGAATAAGATCATCCTTACATCCAACTTAACTTCAGAGATAGCAGAGATAAATTAGCCAGTCGAGGCTCTTAAACATCCCACGTGCTACGTACCAAAATATAAAGTCGTACCAATCCGGGTAGATAAATACATAAATCTCTATTACAAATTTACAGGCCAAGTAATCGAATTAGGGTTTACCCATTTTCCCGTTTCAAGTGGCAACCCAAAAGAAAAGTGCATTATCTCAATAACACATTACAGCCCACAGAATAAGTTATAGCATTCAAATACAATCCAAAAGGAAAACTTAAGTAAGCATCCAGCTTTCAGTTTAATTCCAGAAAACCTGTTTGATACGGAAAAAAAATAAACGTGGTGAGGACTAAAGCTGCAGAATGGTGCCTCAATCCAAAAAAACATTGCAATCAATTTAAAACAATACACGACGTATTGATCGATTGAAAGTAAACAAATAGGAAGGTCGATTAATACCGTCTCCAAGTGTACTTAGACTGTAGAGCGGGATTACCCAACGACGGTACGTCCTGAACTACATATTTTAATATGACTTCGTCCGTAGGGATTTCACCAAACGACTTTACGTCTAAGCATCTGTGATTTGAATTATTATAGACTCGTCGAGGGATTCACCCAACGACTTTACGTCTAGCACTTGATTGATTATTATTGACTCGTCGAGGGATTCACCCAACGACTTTACGTCTAGCACTTGATTTATTATTATTGACTCGTCGAGGGATTCACCCAACGACTTTACGTCTAGCACTTGATTGATTATTATTGACTCGTCGAGGGATTCACCCAACGACTTTACGTCTAGCACTTGATTCACAAAAAAAATGTTTTACGCAAGTCACCACTCGAAAGGCTAGTGTGATAAAGTACACATTGCTCACTTCGATGGGTCAAAACCACTTCATAGTTATAATATAGCAAGTTAATAAAGCGCTTAACCACATAACATAAAACAAGCAGGGACACTCACCAAGAGTGAAGTTCAGATGTCAAGTTGGGAATCGAATTCCGCTTCCTCGCAATATCCTAGAATATCAAATATTGAAATTATAAGCTTTTATTCAGTCTTTAGACTCGAACACATTGAGGTTTATCTAATATATTGCTAGTTTACTTTCCCATAGTAATTTCAAAAATCTACTTAGATTGAAACTTGACACAAATAGTAGAAATGTTTCTTATAATTTTCCTTGAGGTACTTTTCCTTATAAAAAGGGTAACTAGTATAAATTTTCTGGAAATAAGTCGACAAACCTCTTAATATCAATGTTAGAAAGTTACTTTGAACATTTCTTTAAAGCTATGGTTCCTGCAAAAATTATTACTAAAACTATTTTACCCTAAAATAAGGTTTCTTGCTGAGCAAGTTTCCCATGCTTTTCCCCAGAATTATTACAACTCGTATTTTGGAACTTTTCCTATAGTTAACTATAGCTTAAGGAAAGAAAATGAATTAAAATAAGACTTAGAATTTTCAAAAGCTATATAACTTATTTACTAATCGAGGCTAGTTTGAGCTAAAGGAAATTATCGAGTTGGAAAGTTTTATAATATAATACTAGCTGGAAAAATATTTCTGATTAATTTGATCACAGCTACTCAAGTTCGCAAGGTCGATACAACTTCCACAGCTCCGATTCCGTTTCGAAATTATAATATGGATCAAAATATGACAAAAATCACATAGCAAATTACTAGGGCTTCGTCAATCATTAGCCCTAGATTTCAACAAGTGCATTTCTGAATAAAATAAAATGATCAACCAAGGCTTCATCAATCATTAGCACTTGGTTTCAGCAAGCCCATCATAAGCAACTAAAAATAAAATAAAAGTAAAGCC